GCCTGGGCTGTACAACGTACCCTCCCGCTCCCATCTTACCTTAGAACAACAAAACATGTAATTCTGCTGATGGAGGTATCCCCTGAGCTGCAGGGTTGGAGAAATAGGATTTGCCCATGTTGGCAATTTAAGCTAAAGCTCCTTTATGTTCTTATAGCAGTTTAGCTGTAGCTGGGGTTTAGAGGAGGGTGTGCGTACCCCACGCGGGATGCTCCATCAGCTCGCTTCAGAGCAGGCGTTTCAAGTGTGTGGCTTATAAATGGGTAGCATGTGCTCAATCTGAGGAGAACATGTGTCCGCACAGAGTTCTTGCACTAAACTCCAGAGGTTTCGTATGCTGCATTTAAATGCTCATACCATTAAAACCTCTGAAGCAGTATTCTTAAACGTGCTTTGTTTTAGGTCTCAGTGGCATTCATAAATCAAGATGACTTGATGACTACAGAAGGGTAAAACTTAAAAACCAGGCCTTTGCTGTGGAAAAAATATTTTTATTTTGTAAAAATAATATGTAATCATTTGGAGCTGGTTGCACTTGGCAGTTATTACTGTTACTTTATTTTTCTTGAGCGTGTTTTCAATAGAAAATGTATTGTTTCAAGCATTTCTTCAGAAACGAACGTCAGATGTGGCTTTGGACAAAGAGCATCCACTTTCTGATCAGCTCAGATCGTGCTAGACTTGGAACACGGTCTCCAAAAGCTAGGTGAACCATCTTACAGTATGCTTGGTTTTTTAACCTTTATCTCAACAGTACTAATTATAATCTTAAGTATTTAATTTATGTGGGCATATAAATTGTCTCACACTGAACAAGAGCTTTGAAAAAGCTTAGTGTCTTAATCATATTCTTAATGTGTAACGTGTTTCAGTTTGAAGATGCTGCTTGAATCCTTGAAGATTTTTTTTTTTTTTCATGGCTAAGGTTGGGCCTTGGTTGTTTTTGTAGTTCTATAACAAATAACTAAGTTGTTTTCTTAACTTTAACTCATCTTTTCAGTAGATGAATTTTTTCTTCAAACGATGAGCAGGAGCAGCTTTGATACTTGTTATTGATATATCTTTCATTAGTGAAGCAAGGTTTGAATTACACAACATGCAAAAAAAAAAAAAAGAAGGAAAAAAGAAGGCAGCCCATACTTGTGGAAAAGTGTCATCCAGCTGCTGAAGTATTATTTGAAAAAGAAGCATCTCTGTGTTCGGAAGAAGACAACATTCGTTTGTATTCCTGCTAGTCACAAATAACAAAAAAGGTAACTATTGAGGATGATGATAGGATTTATCCGGTTGTGTGTTTATTAGACTTAGAGGAAAACATACTCATTACCAACTTTTACCATCTCTTGTAATAAATTTGCGTTTTAACAGGACAGAGTACTTAGAAGGTCAGGGGGCAAGCTGTATAGAAACAACACTTAGGCATCACTGTTTCGCATAAGCAAATGAGGACTGACAACCACTAAGGGCAGTCCATGCTTTACCAAATGAAAATACAGGCTATGGTAAACACAAAAATAAATTCCAGCCTGTGGGGCCTAATGAAAAAATAATCCTCTTGAGAGGCAAGACGATTGTGTACCACCGTAGTGCGTTTGCCATCTACTCTCCTGGCAGCGCTGGAGCCACTGGGCTCTGTTTTATCTCTAGGGTTTACCTCCACGTGGCTCAAATCAGGCTGCGTATTTCCTAGGTACTTTTCAGGGAAACCTGATCTGCCCTATAATCTTGCTTAGCTTCTGGTCATTAGAATATCAGCACTGGGCATAATTTAAGCAGGGTTATAGAGCGCTCTTCTAACATACAGGGACAGGGGGACAGATTATAGTAATTTTTCCTGATTGGCAAATGAAAGGCAAGGGAGGCGCAGTTTCGTGAAATCGCTCCTAAGGCGGTCGTAGCTGCTGCAAGGAGCAGTCCTGTTTTCCCTTCCTTCTTGCTCCACGTTCCTACCCCTCTCGCTTGTCAGAGTTAGAGAAGGTGTGCCTGCACAAGTTGGATCAGCTAACAGAATTCACCCAGAGTTGTGTAATGCAGAGATTTTTTTTTTTTTTTTTTCCTAAGGAATAGGGGTGGTGGCAGGCAAAACCTTAGCTTAAATTTGATACAAAAAGCATTTTTCTTCCAACATCTCAGTATAGGAAGCAAATGTGAACATGTTTCTTGGTTAAGCAGAGTATTTATTAGCAAATTAATAGTACGAGTTTAAACATATTCAAATATGTAACTGCTGCAACATATTCAGATATATTTAAGCAGTAGGAGATTAAATATATTTTTTGTTCTAGAAGTTGAATTTTGATTATATGTATATCAGAAATGACACTTGTCTTCCCTGTCTGAAATCTCACTAGAGAGCCTCTTGAAAGTAGCTCGGCTTCTAACTAACCTTTCAAAGCACATCCGCACGTTTCTATTCCCAGCTGCAGAGCTAGGGTGAAATAGAGGTCGAATAGCAGTGAACACTTGTAAAATTGTATCTCACAAATCACACTAAGATTTTTCTTTTTTTCTATGCACTTTCTTTTGCCTTCAAGTATCTAGTGGCTTAGCTGTGATTTGAAAGCCTTTAGCAGTTTTCTAAATGCTAGTTAAGAAATTGTATAAAAGCTTTTGAGTTTTCTTAGTCGTTTGCCACAGCACATGTAATTTAGCATGATAATTCTTCAGTATCAGTTACCAGTCCATACAGAATTGCTCTATGTGTTCAGGAAAGGATTTAGAACTGCTGCAAGAGCTGTACTCAGGACTTCTGGGGTGCTCAAACTCTTGGTAACGTGGCAGTCATTTTTTAATACATAACACTTACCCTTCTTTTGTTTTATTCATGATAATAATGATGTCTGAGCAAATGTCAGATGGGAGAGATCTCTTAAAGTCAGATTCCAGACGCTGAATTTTAATGTTTGCCCTGCAATCTCCAGCATAGTTAAGGCAAACAATTTCTGTAGCGTTTGAAGTTGCAAATGTTGAAGTTACCCAGCTTCGCTTTTGTCATCTGTAACACACTGCAATGCACAAACCGTAATTGCAGACAACACTTACTGGTTTTATTTAGCTTGACAGGAACAATAAACTGGACTTCATCATAAATACTAATTCATCTAAGTGGAAACTGCTGGAGGTAATACATATTGAATTCTATTTACCTTTCTGTCCAGTGCAAGGCATGCATTTATTTAGAAATGTATTCCGCCAAAAAAAGTAAGATTCTTGCCATAATTGTTCCAAGGAAAAGTTTTGTAAATCATATAGGTCTTTAAAGTTGAATTGAGAGCTCTAATGGTGCGGCAGATGGAGTCAAGAATGTAAAGACAGAAGCCAGGAAGCTGCACTGGCCTGTCTCTCTCCTGTTCTCACAGTCGAGAGACTACGAATAAGAGAGCCGAGATGATGAAATGTGTGATTCTAAGCCGTAACTTCCGCTTAGGCCATCCTAAAATCTGTCTGCTTCTACAGTTTGGTCACAACGTTGTAGATTCTTTATTCACTAGCTCAAAGACACTAAAAATAAAAGTTACATGGGCTTGAGGAAAAGCAACAGATGAGGCAGAATCCGTTCCTTTTGCCAGGTTTTATTTCAGCCCGAGATGCTACTCCAGATGGTAGGGGAGAAGAACACCCTGGCACAGCCCCGACGACTTCCCGGCATAGCTGGCAGTGCTGGGATATCTGGCGCTTTGCATGGGATTCTGCATTAAAAGGGAATTCCACCACACCACCCTGCAGGCTCTCCACAGTGCACAGATGAGAACTTGGCACGATCCTGCAGCCCCCAGTAACGGCTCTGCCATATTCATGAGGGTTAAAAAGGCTGCATCTCATCCAGTAAAACCCCTTAAGGAAAAACCTCTCGCTGAAAGATTTCTAAGGTTAATCAACTGAATTCAAGGCAAACACCAGGGAGTAGGATATCGAAAACTGTATCACAGTTAACTATTATATGAAAAGCAGAAAACAGAAGTACGTGGCAGGTAGGTGGAGACACTTGTCACAGCTTTTGTATCACAGACTATGTAAAAGCTCCATACCGTGTGTGTTTCTAAGATCACGAGTAAACATGCTCTTTAGCTCTTAAAAGCACCTTATGAGCTGGGAGACTGTGCTTTTGACTTCTGTATTTATTCTGTGTTTTTAAATCAAGATGCACTAATTTTCACCCCTTATCACATAATGTCATGACTTTTACAACAGTCAGCATGGATGGTTCCGTGCTTCTGTACAACAGCTGAAGGAAATGTCAAGTACAAAGAAACGCACTGCTCTCCTGATACAAACTAGCTTATCACGTAAATGGTGAAATAGAGAACTTTGACCCTATTATAGTAGAATGTAAGATAGTGGATTAACACTCCAGACTTCTAATTAATCACAGTGTGTCTCATCCTCTTGATTGTAGGGGAGTAGGCCATTCTTCTAACTTAAACCAACAGCTGTCCAGCATTAACACTTATCTGTTGGTACTGCTGCTTGCGCAGCTGTCAGCCTAGACGACAGTGTTGCAGTTCTGAATGTTTCAAAAGCAGGTTTCAGAAATATTCAGAAACATCCTTACACGTGAACTATACTTTATTGTGTGAATACTTAAAAAAACTACAGAACTTAAATTCTAAAAACTGAGTAACACCCTGCACTGCTTATGCTATTTTCTCATGCAAAAAAAGTACAGAACAGTACTGACGACGGTTCCTTCCTTCTATAACATGCACAAAGTATTTCATGCAAACTAATTACAATTATCATCAAAATTTTACAGCTTTACTGAAATGGGAATTCCAAAATTTGTTATGCACGTATTACATTTATTTTAAGATGACACAAATTAATCTAAGTCTGATATCACTTCTCAGGTAAAGCTTGTATATCACTGAACTACTAAAATAAGAAGATACATATTTAAACTATTTAATTTGTATTCCAACTTTTAGACCATGTTTTGAGAGGAATACTGCAAATAAACTGAATTCATTGAGTCAACAGACACTATCCTGAACCCATAAAATATTTCTGTAAGAGCATCTTTCTTTTCTCAGTTTTAAGGCATCTGAAATTCAAACTAAACTGAGCTTTTCTCACTATCAGAAGCCAGACTAAGAAATTCTCTCCAGAGAAAGACACTGTATGTCACTTCCAAAAAGAACTATCTTAAGGCAATGTGCCACTGCTACAGGCTGCGCACAAATCACAGCTGTTTTCCCCTGACCTGTTGCATTTTCTAAAACATCAGAGAGAAACCTCAGTGATGGAAGTAAAGTAGTGTACTAGTATGCATTCAGCCAAAACAATGAGATAGAAATTTAATCTAAGATCTACAGACTCTAAACAAACTCTGTAAAATACACTTTTATTATTCATAAAAGGTATTCCCTTTTTCAATTCACACTACAGATAAACAGCAATGGACTGTAATACCGATTCTTCAGTTATCTATAAAACTGTGGAAAAATAAGAAAACTGAAGTCGAACTGAATTTGTTAGATAGCATTACTGGACTTTCAAACCACAAGTATCATCAGTAGGGATGGTAACGAGGCCCTGGGTTGTAGGAGTTGTAGCCATACTGTCCGTAGTGGGAGGAGTACGATTGTCCTTGTCTGTGCTGCTGGTAGTTATTGCCCCAACCTCTTTCTGGCCTCTGATTAGATCTATAGTCGCCTTGCCAGTTGTATCTGTCCCCTCTAAAATATCGACTATCTTGAAACCTGCAAAGAAAAGAAACGTCAAAGATTCACACAGATTGTGAGGTTTTTAAAAAGATGAGTGATAATGAAATCTTAAATTTTACAGTTTCTATGAAAACTGTCACGTAACTGCTTATACACTCAATTACTTACCTGTTTTTATGACAAACTGATGAAAACATATCTACAGTCATCTGAGATCATTCATTAATTTCTTACTACTACCCAACACGCTATTTGCTAAGCGATGGAAGGACAGTGTCTTTCCTAACACAAAGTATTCACAGACATTAGGTGAACTGCTGGAACTTTGAATAGAGACTCAAACAGATCATGTATCTAAAAAACCACCAGAAGATACATCTGTAGCCGTATCACAGCCAGGTTCAATCTAGTAGCTTGAAAGCTGTGGCAAAGCAGGCTTAAGTACAATCTAGCTACCTAACAGCAAAGAGTCCGGAAATTTGCATAGTCCCTAAAATACATACTACCACTGCTTCATGGTCTCTTGTAGATTCCCATACTCATGAGAGTGTATCTTACCAGTGGTATTTAGCCATTGTTCACTCTAAGTTTTGGCTTTTCAGCTGTATCTCGATTCCTATCAATACTTGAGCTGCTTCACAGTCATTTTCTTTGGATATCTCAATGGTGTGGTGCAGACAAACAACATTTACATGAGGGTCACTTTGTGACCAGAGTGTAGATGTAAGAGTTCATTAGTTCAAAGAACCACGAAGTTTTGTAAGAACATCTCCTTAAACAGTCACCTTGTTTTTAATCTGTAGAAACTGACTCTGTGTTTAACTTAATGACAAGCTTATAGGGTGAGAAAAAGTTAGAATGTTATCCTTCTTTTCTTCAGATAAGGCACAAATCCTATTTAGATGTTTAGCTAAGAAGTCTTCCCAATTGTTAGTTGGACTGGAGTTTAACTACTTTATACTAACGGCTGATGTTAGCATTACCAAACATGCTATATGCTGTAATCATTGTTTTTCAGTCACACAAAAACCAGGTGTTACTGTCCAGGATTCAGTAAAAAGCTGCAATTACATCCTGAAGAAATAATTCAAAATATTTTGCAGTAGGCAGGTAACATTGCACTTGCTAGACAGATTGGATGATGGATTTTACAGTCATTTCTACTAGATAAAAGAAATACAGGCTAATCTAACAAAGTACAGCAAATATTTAGGTTACAAATGAAATGTTTTTCTGGACAGCTAGCAACAGATAATCACACTATTAGCCTGTTCCTTCACACATTTTCCTGACGGTTATTATCCAACAGACGACAGGCTGCTTAGTTTTGCAGGACTCTCATCTTTCCCCTCTGGAAAAACGTTCCTGGCTGAGCAGTAACAAACCCCAGGGCAATGGGTTCAGTGGTTCCAGCTCATTCCTTACTAAAAAGCAAATTACTTAATACTTTTATACACAATGCAAAAACTTTGACTATCAATACAGAGAAAATGTAAAAACCTCATTACTTTCGAGAGAACGGTTTCTCTTAAACATAGTTACCTATCAAGTAACAAGAAGATACTTCTATTAACAGAACAAATTCCTATCTTTCTTCTGAAATAAATGATCATTTAATTATATATTTGTGAAATGACCAAGATTTTTAAAAAAAAAATCAGTACCGATCTCTGTTTCTCTGGTTGCCACCAGATCTGTTTCTCCATTCTTCAACTATAGGAGGGGGATCTGCAGGGCGTTTCAGATATTCTTGGTATTCTTCATCATCGGATGTGAATCGATGAGCAAACATCTTTTCATAATTCAGGGGCATATCAACCAAGGAAGTCATTCTGAAAACTTAAACATGAACACAATAAAACTGGCTTTAGCAATGTATGAAGAGTCTTATTGTAATAGCTACCAAAATCTACTTAGGGCAAATGAAGGACAATGAAAAGTTACACTCAGACTAACACAGCAGTTAAGTTTTGGGCAGACAGCACAGATGACTGACTCTTAAGTCTTGACGATCTAAGACTGTAAATAGCTCTCCTGAATAGGTTATCTCTGATGGAAAGCAATTCCAATTCCATGTGCAGTCTTTGGAGATCTATACTGGATATGCAGACACTGAGACGTCTAAACACCAGGAGTGGTTTTAAGGGACTCCATCCACACAGGAGAAATTAATCTTAAATTAATACCTAATATAGTCAGCCAATACACAGTAGCATCTTTGAATCAATTTTGATAGACCTAGATTAGATAAGCTGTGGTAGAAAGATAAGGGACGTTTCTGAGGGTTTGTAATAGAAAAAAGTATTTCTTCAGAATGCACTCCCAATCTACTCCTAATCCATTTTTGACAGGAAAAACGTTACTACAATCAACCTGAAATATTTGCTAAGGTAGAATATCATGCAAAGCTTACAGATACACATAGCCAGCAAAGCAAAATAATTAGATTTATTCACAACAATTTATGCGTTAATAATTTGATTCAGGGAAAGGACAGCACCTAAGAGGATGTTAAATTACCTCATAATATGCCTCTCTGATGGGATTTGTGTTTAAGGCCTTAGTTTCCTTATTTACCTGGCTATATATGCATTTGCCCTTCAGACGTTGGTGCCATCTAGCACTATCCATCAGTAAAAGTCCGGCCCTGATAGCAGATGCTGAGAAAGGCTCTATGCCTACTGTTTTAACGAGCCCTTTTAGAGCATTAAAGGTCTTTGCCTCTAGACTTCCAGATTAAGCTCTTCTGCTGTCTCCTGAAGATTTGCAGGCAGGACCAATATTCACCGTGCAAACTGGGGGGAAGGAAGGAGGAGACCGGTTCCTTATGGACCCTGGGAGCCTCAATGACCAAGCCCACTTCTTCTCCCTGCTGTACCCATGAGCACCTTCAGACTGGGGTGAGTAAGTGGGATGATCGTGGGGAATAGAGCACAGTACCCTGTAGACTGAACTCCCCTTTCATCAGCTTCAGAAAGTTCAGTGTCTGGTGATCTCCAGATCCCATCTAAGGATGCAGTGTAAATCTTTCTGAAGCAGGTGTAGGAGTTATTCCTGCAGGATGTCCAGTGACTTCACCCTCCTTTTTTGCAATGATCTAACCTCGTTAGTTTTTACTATGAGCTATCGCCAAGGAAATTCGCTCCTGAGGGGCTATCTCAGTCGGGGCGGGTGACACTGCCCTGGGGACCCACTCCATACCACTACAGCCTTCTCCAGAGAGCAGTGGGAGCTGCTCTCCTCACGATTAATTATTTTAATACCAGTATTCATCCTGCGGGGGCCGGTAACAGGGGAGCCCCGTCACCTTCCTCCGCCTAAGGCCAAACGCCGCCTTCAGCAACAGACGGGGCTCACTCCCCTAAGGAGGGCTCACGCCTCTTCCCCTCACGGCGGGTCGGCCCGGGGCCCTGCCCCCTCACAGCGGGTGGGGCCCCGCT